TCATTCTGGAGGGGGCTCCAGACCACAGGTGCCTCTCCACCTCTACCCGCAGTCAAGCTGTGCTAGTTGGCATAGTGATCCGGCAGCACTGGTTCCACACTAATTTAGTGGGGGAGAGTGAGAGAGAGTCACGGGGGAGATAAAGAAAGTCACGGGCCACAGAGAACTGGTGGAGCGCCACAGACTTCACTCCCCATAGTCCCCATTCAGCTCTTCAGTATGTGTGTATTTTTTGCGTCAGCGCTAACGCTCTGCGGAGAATCTAGCTCGGAGGATGTGTAATTTGCATTTCAGTGAAGCAATCAAGCATGGCCGTCATTTGCATGAGCTAATTAGGCACGTGACAAAAGCCCTCTGTTCTCCGGCGATTATCGGAATATCGTGTGGAGGTCTGCCTGGAGCTCCTCACAAGTCTGCTTTTGAGACACCCAGCCTGGTTAAAAAGTCTCACGGGTGTGATTTTTTTAAAGGGGTTGTTCATCCAAACGTGCAAAATCTGGTATTTATTTACTCACCCTTATGTTATTCTGTATGACTTAACAGTTTGGTGTTTTCCTCTAGCCAGGTTTCATATTACACCTTTAATGATATTTTTATTGTGCTTTGTTTGTCCTTTTAAAGCAAAAAAAGCCCCAGTCCTCATTCACTTTTTCATTATATTGAAAAGCGCAGCCAGTATATTCTTTAAAAAAAGCAGCTTTTTGTGAAGTCATACAGCCATAAAGCCATACAGGTTTGAATTGACATGAGGTCGAGTCTGAGGTAAATTGTCACTTCAACATTGAATACTATTTTACTCTGTTAGCCTGCAGTAAAAAAGTAACATGCATTTAGAATGATATTACTGACTTGTTAACTTGCTTTGGTTGATGTGTTACACTTTTTTTTGACAAGGTTCATGTTCTAGGTGTAGCGTTTTACTAAATAAGTTACTAAATACTCAGAGAATCCCAGTTTGTGTGGCAAATTAACAGCAGAGTTCTGTTGCCCTTTTGCAGTGTAGTAATGTTTTATTACCCCACAAAGAGCTGTGAAACAAATACTGATTTTGTTTCATAGTGGATGTGAAAATCTCAGAGAGAAAAAGGGGAGAGAATCGGCTGTCTATAGTCCATATCAAATTGTAGCCACATAACTGGATTTTTTGCCGCCATAATGCTAGAGTGTTCTGAGTTCAGGGACATGGTGTATGTTTGCTAAGGTGTTCGTGGTTATAGCATGCTGCTAGGGTTTTAGGTGGTTTCTAGGCTGGTACTCTGTGGTTTCTAGAGTGGTCTGGGTGATCACCTAATTTAGGGTGAAAGCAAAAACTAAATTTAGACTAAATACTAATACTAAATTTAGTATAATACATTTAAAAAAAAAAAAAAACATCACTTTCAAATCAAGCAGCTTGGTGTTGGTCAACTTGGCAAATTTGAGCAAACAACTTGCTAAATCTGCGTGGGGAAATTTTTACCCTCACACAGAATTCATGATTGCATGGTTAGCTACCTATTGAAATGACTGGATTTTGTTCACAGAAATCACCATTATTATAGTTTTTAATTTTTAGATATTTTCAATGAATGTTTTCAATTTAACTTAGTTTGTGTTATTATTTTTTTACGCTAAAATTGTTGGTTTTACTTTAAGTTTTTTTATGTTTTGATTAGTTGAAATCTCCACAAAACAATGGAAACAAGCTGCAACACAAGAAAATTAGCACAACACAAAGGAAACAAGTCACAGCACAACAGAAACCAGTCGCAACGCAATGAAATTAGCAGAACACAACGGAAAAAAGCCTCAACACAATGGAAACAAGCCGCAACACAACGTAATTAGCACAACATAAAGGCAACACAACGAAATTAGCAGAACACAACGAAAAAAAGCCACAACACAACATAATTAGCAGAACACAACGGAAACAAGCTACAACACAGCGTAATTAGCACAACACAAAGGAATCAAGTCACAGCACAACAGAAACAAGCCGCAACACAACAAAATTAGCACAACACAACGGAAACAAGCCGCAGCACAATGGAAACAAGCCGCAATACAACGTAATTAGCAGAACACAACTGAAACAAGCCACAACACAACGTAATTAGCAGAACACAATGGAAACAAGCTACAACAACGTAATTAGCACAACACAAAGGAATCAAGTAGCAGCACAATGGAAACAAGCCGCAACACAACGAAATTAGCACAACACAACGGAAACAAGCCGCAACACAATGAAATTAGCACAACACAATGGAAACAAGCCCGAACACAATGGAAACAAGCCACAACACAACGACATTTCGTATGCGTTGTGTTGTGGTGATTTTGTTGTGTTGTGGAGATTTCATTGTGTTGTACACTACTGAGCCATCGTCCATATCTAGTTTCAGTTTATTTTGTTTTAGAATTGTAAGTATTTTAGGGCTGTGAAAATGTATGTACTTAATGTAACTTTTCTAAAAAAGTTTAGCAATATTAAATTAAAAATAAAACTACATTTTTGGCCATTTTCATTCCATTTTAGTTTGTTTTGGAGTCATACAAATTTATTTTAGTCTCTGTTTTTCCCAGTTATGTTCCATGATGTGAATAATTGCAAGATGAGTTGCTTGCAGGTTTACTTCTTTGGGTTACAAGTTCAAAAAAACTAATTATGTAAAGAAAGCTCTCAAAAAACCTGCCTAAGAGACACAAAAAGCGGAAGAGAGATGCTTCCCAGGCTGCAAAGAGAAGCCGTGTCAATTTGCAGTGACACTGTGAAAGATGGCATGAAAATACTTGTGACACTCTTGTAGCTGAGAAACTTGAGGGAAAACCGTGGGGTGTGTTGAAGATGAGCTTGTCCCAGCAGACAGTCAATCAAGAGGTCCTGCATGCTCAGCTGTAGTTATCACACACACACACAAGAGGGTTGCCTCTGCTGACTGTGTCGATGACTGGATGAGCTTTTTTGAACCACAGATCTGCATCTGTCAAACCTTGTGTAGCTTGGTGTGCGTGACTCCCTGCCAGCGATTGTGAATGCTGGACTGGACAGAGTGGCAGAGGGCAGCTCATCTTTGTGTGTTTATAAAAGGAAGATCACAGGCGATTTGTCTTTGCCAGGAAGTCCTCCTACGCTATCTCCAATGCCTGTATTTACTGACAGGCGACGTGTTGAGCCTGCGCTCATATGTGTTGATTGCTGAAGTTGGCGTTTGTTTTGAGAGACTAGTAGCGCTGAGGCAGATAATTGCTCCTTGTTTGTTCTTTAGCTCATGAATGAGTCATAATGTGTGTCCCCAGGTGAAGATTATTCAACATCATAATCTTCTCGACATAAAGGTCAGACCTAGATACTCGGAAGTGACAGTTCTCTGGTTTGTGTTTATTAGCTGGACTGTAGGGCAAAGAGCAGCTCATCGTTGTGTGTTTTGTATTCTGGGAATTGTAATAGAGGGCGAATATGTGCTTTTATGCCCTTAGACATGGAAACGGAGCCTTTCATTGAGCCCTGGCGGTCTCCACGTAATGAAGTGAATTATAGTAATAGTAGTTGTGCTGATTAGATTACGTTCCCTTTTGGATTCAGCTCACTCAATGACTGTTGTAACACTTCTTATGCGTGTTTTCAACATCTTCATTCATCACCGCTTAATGCCCACATCATCACACCTTGACCTTTCTTGTGAAGCCTCACAAACCTGCTCTGCCAAGTGTTTGGCTGTCTATCGAAAGCAGAATGCAATGCCACTTTTTTTCTTTGCAGGTATACAGTAACAATTCATGACAATTTATGTTAGATTTTTTAACAAACAATGAATTTGGCAGTATTATTTAAATAACAAAAAAAAATTAATGTAGAGATTTTAGAGTTTTTGTTCTCAAGAATAACTATTTTATTTCATATATATTTAATAATGGGTTATTATGTGTATAATGAAGACTATTAATCACAGATGAATATGAAATATGAAGATATATATGTTTATATTTGTTTATAAGTAAATAATATTATAGTAGCATTTATAATGTTACAAAAGATTTCTATTTCAGATAAATAGTGTTCATATCGATATTGGAATTATATCGTATCGACCGAAATTAAGAAATATATCGTGATATAAATTTTGGCCATATCGTCCAGCCCTAGTATATAGTATATATAAATGATACTGTTAAATAATACTGCCAAAAAATGTAGTTTGTTATCAATTTGAAGTAACTAAACTGTCACTTCTTTGTTTTTTTAAATGGTCATAAAAGGATCATAAAATTATTATTCTTGATATAAGAATATGAAGATAATTGTTTAAAGTAATTATTATAATAAATATAATATTAAATGTTTATAGAAAAACTATTTATTGAAATATTTAAAGTAATATAGTGTTATTTAACTAAATAGTTCTTTCATCTAAAAATAATATTAAAAACGTATTACTTAAAGGTGTCCTATTATGGTCTTTTACAAAGCTGACCATAAAATAAAATTTTTCACACACTTTTCAAAAAAAAAAAAAAAAAATTTATTATAATGGATCTTCACAGTGCAATTTGAGACAGAAAATGTCAACATGCTTCATGCTACACTGTAAACTAACAAGTTTAACAATGCAAACAATATGTAACCTTTTTATTGTTTTCAAAAACAGCTGTTTTGCGTTGCTGGTCGCTCCACAAAGCTGTAACTAAAGTTGGAAAAAAAAAAATTTAATTGGGGGTAGGAGTAAAATTTGTGGTCCACTATCACATTTTACATCTGTAAAATCAGTGATTTACAAAAATATAATAATGTGCGAATAATACTGTTGACTTCATGCTCCAGTTTAGGAGTGGCACTTTATATAAATACTAGTCCTCTTCACATTCACCCTCTCCACTTCCCTGTGACCTCACTCTCCCCTGGCTCTGTTTTTAGATGAGTGCTAATACTGCCCATCATTTGGAGCGCTGCTGTATGTGTGAACTTCCTGCTGTTATTTTTGGCATGCTTGTTTCCCTTGACATAACCCTTACCGCAGTTATGTGGTGACGGAGTTGATGCAGAGTGACCTCCATAAGATCATCGTGTCTCCACAGCCCCTGAGCTCTGACCACGTCAAAGTCTTTCTCTACCAGATCCTCCGAGGTGAGACACACACACTAAGCCCTTCATTTCAAAATTTTATTTCAAAAGCTTCACCCTCAGATTTCAGACACACATTTTCCACGCTGAGTCTTTCTTCACCAAATCTCACGGGTAGAGAAACACACAGACAATCACACACACCTCTCTTCTTTGTGTTCCTTACTATCATATTCTCACCAAAGAAAATGAGGAGGAAGAGACGGACCACTCGTAGTGTATGAATACAAATGGGAAAACAAGAAACATTCACCTCTTTGATATTGTGTTTACTGCAGGACAACTGACAGGTCTTAAAGATACCAGTTAACCTAATTCCCAATGAATCACATGAAACACATAAAACTTCAGTGACACAAAGCTTTATTACATCTTAGAGTAAAAATGGCACCATAGCGAACCCAACAAGAAACCTGTACAGTGTAACAGCGCAGTCTGCTTCATATCAATACAGTTTGTGTCCACAAAATATCTTTAATGGCTGATGTATATGTTGTGTCCACAGGATTGAAGTATCTACACTCAGCTGGCATTTTGCACAGAGACATTAAACCCGGTAACCTGTTGGTCAACAGCAATTGTGTGCTTAAGGTTAGTGAAATACTAGTCAAACTATTATTTTGTTGGTGATTTTTCCTATGTTGAAATTTTGTATTTTTCTGGTACTTTTGCTTCAATGGTTATATGTAATTTATTATTTCAGAAATTGACCATGTAGTTGAACTCTTAAGACAGTTGTTTACAGGATATAATTTTTTTTAAAGTAATTTAAAATCTAGCAAACCTCTTATTAAACTATTTTTCTGTTTATATGGTTTTCACAAAGCATTATAATTCAGCTTTGCCATTACAGAAATAAATTATATTTTCAATCGTATATTAACATATAAACAGTTTTAAACTGTTTTAAAACTGTTTTAGCATTTGTTGTTTTGTTTTTTTTTAGCATTAAGGTCTTTGCACACTGAGTCTGAAATTCTCGTCCAAAATTTTCACACGTTAAAAAATAAATACGGCCTCACGTTGTCAATCACGTTTACACACTGCCTCCGAAACTTTCGTCCGTCATAAAAAAATTCGGACCAGGTTCGATTTTCTGTGTTTTTGCATCCGTAGCAAGCATTTTGATAGGAAAGTATGACGAATACGAAAACCGTAAAAGCCGTAGTTCACTGACAAGCTACGCAATATCGCGTTCATAATCACAGGCGATACATCGCCGATAATGAACACAATATTGCGTAGCTTGTCAGTGAACTACGGCTCTGTGTAGTAAATGCTGCTCCATCTGAAAGCATGTGATGGAGATTTACTACTAATCACAGAACCGGCTTTACTGACAAGATGCGCATGATAATTATTTGCACAGCCCTACTAAACAGTCATGTGACTGAATAATGGCCCAGATAATTGGCTACCAAAAGTGACAATTTTTGTCTCAAACACAGTTATTTTATTATTATATAATTTTAACATTTGTAATTTGGATGTAATGGCTAATGATTAGTATAAGAAATGTAGATTTGTTTTCGTGGTTCATATTGAAATGTAATACGTATGGTTATCTATCTATCCATAAAAAAACACTGAGTGAGCAAAAATTTGTGAGATAGCTAGTTATAATGGTAATTAAATAATGTTTACATATGTATAAAATCCTACATTAAAATCTGTCATATAAATTGGTCTTTTCATTAGAAATTAGTCTACTGATTGCCACCATTGATAGACAATTTTTTTTTTATAATATTAAAAATATCTGTATGACATTATATTCTGCAGTTCTTCCCTGGTGTACCGAATATCTATACTTTTCAAATTATCATATCGAAGTTAGAAATTCAAATATTGTGACAAAATTAATTTTGTAGGGTGCCACAAATTTGTTAAAATTTCCAAAGGGTGCCGCGACTAAAGAAAGGTTGGTAAACACTGCTCTAGCCTATGGGCCTTGAACTGTGTCTTTATAACTCCTATTTTTCAAGGAGCAAGGACGCTTCATATCTGTCTGGCCAGGCCAGGCCAGGTCTACAGCACCAGCGTACACACACTAACACACAATCTCTGGCTCCAGGGGGTCAGGGCCCCTTTGGGATTGATTCATCTGCTCAGTTCCTGACATAAATCTTCATTTTGGATCCCATAGAGAGAGTCCAGCTGCAAAAGAGAAGGCAAGGTTGATATGGGAGATATAGAAAGAGGGAGAAATTCTCTGTGTATGTGCGTGCTGACTCTACCCAGCAGCATGAGAAATGTGCTTGAGGGGAGAGCGGGAATAGATTGTGCTATTGGACCACAGAGAGGGAATCATTTAGCATGCGCTGCTTCATTTAGTCCTTAATCCCCATTTCCGAAAAAGAAGAACGTTTCCCTCATTTAGCTATTACGTGCCAAACCTTATCTTATGGCCATGTCCTGCAATCAAATATGCTTGAGTCTGATCTAGGTTCAAATTTGATTAATTTTATATCCATAACATGTTTTCTATTATTGGTGTGGGCTAAAATGAAAACTTGAAAACATACAAATAAAAGTGGATTCAAATTATTAATAAATACTAAAATATCATATAAATAATAGTAAAATAATACTGGACTTTATTTGATAAATGTGTTTCCATCAAGTGCATATTTTAAGAATAAAGATTAAGATTTCTCTTCAAATATGTGGATGGAGAACTGCCTATAGAAACAAACTTGGGCTCTTTGGGCAATTTCATGGGCCAATATGTAACCACTTAGCAAACATTTACAACACCCTATCAACCAGTTACAAAACCCAAGCAACCACATGGCAACACCTTGATTGCCCAGCTTGTCACTCTTTCCATAAATGGTGGTGTTTTTACTTGAATGGAACAAGAAGACACAAGAAATCGTTTCAATAAATTGCATGTTTAAGCGTTGCTTGCAGGATTAGAATTTGTCTTGTGGGAATGCATAAAATTAGGCCTCTGGGAAAAACTGGGTGGAGCTACTTGGGTAAATTGTTAACAATGTATGATAGGCCCTTTTGTGCCTTCTTTCTGAGAGTGAGTGGAGAGAAGAGGCAGAGATATTTTTCTCATTTATTTATTTCCCAAGGAACACTCAAGCGACTCAAGATGATTAGAAATTGGGTCTTGTGTTTATAGCGCTTTTATTGTTTATCCGTTTGGTTAAAATGTGAATGAGCCTCTCCGTCTAATTTTGGTTTTATTGCTTGATTTATTGGAAAAACATCTTCTCCATACGTCAATAAACGCACTTCACTCACAGACTTCACTCATCAACCTATTAAGTGTGTAAATATTTATCCTAAATTCTGCACAGATTTGTGACTTTGGCCTGGCAAGAGTGGAGGAGCTGGACGAGTCACGTCACATGACCCAGGAGGTGGTGACGCAGTACTACAGAGCGCCAGAGATCCTGATGGGGAGCAGGCACTATTCCAATGCCATCGACATCTGGTCTGTGGGCTGCATCTTTGCCGAGCTGCTTGGCCGACGCATCCTCTTCCAGGCCCAGAGTCCCATCCAACAGGTATTCACCTACGCTCATGTTCAGCGCTCGATCTGTAGGCAGAATCTGGCCTATTCACACAACTCATTGTGATTTATACAAGTAGAACATGTTCCTGTGTCAACATTCTTATCAGCCAATCAGAACCTTCTGATTTTTGGTGTAGCTGTAGAACAGCTAAGGAGTAATAATTCCTTACAATAATTCCTTACATTTATATAGCGCTTTTCTGGGCACTCAAAGCGCTTTACATAGAAGGGGGGAATCTCCTCAACCACCAACAGTGGTTGCTCCCTTTGCGATATTTGAGGATCATTGTAGATTTTGGATCATTTGGCCTCTCAGATGTGTTAAGTAGTTCAGCTGCTTTATCAGGGTCCACAATTAACACTTGCCAAGCACCAAATGTGAGGAAAAATTGGCTTTGGCGAGTAAACAAAAAGCTTTCTAACCATTTGGCTTTAGGAACTTCCTTAGGAACTGCAGGATATTTCATGGATTAAATTGCAAGAACTGAAGCCTGACCTTTTTTGTCTGACAGATTATGTGATTCAAGCAAATGCATAAGCTGTTAAAGTCACTAATCTTTTCAGAGAAATTTTTCTTTGCATTCTGACAGCTTTTACCTCAAATTACACCACTTAAAATTTACTTTATAGCATTTTTTTCTTCAGAGGTCTGTGTGGTGAAATATTTCTCACATTAAGCAACTAAAAATATTGTGCATATGACGACTAGCCCTGTTTCTCACAAATATACAATAGTAAATATAACCTATATATTTTTGATGCAGAATACAACTTTCATGGGTGATAAGAAGTATTTTATGTACATTTATGGTGTTAAATATTTATATTTAACTCTCTATTTAACTCACTTACAATTAAGTTTAACATTACTCAATCCGGTATTGTTTGGAAAATATATTTTCCCTCAAAAATAAAAGGAATTTAATAAAATGGTATGATATTTAATAATTTAATAAACAAGAAAAGTTACACTAGTAGTGATTTTATAGATACCCAGCTTTGTAACATTCTTCGTGAAAACAGAAAATCTTGGACGCTGATGCTAAACATGTGACCTTAATGTACGGTATTTTTGGCAAATGTTGTACAGCCATGCTAATGAGCGAGCGGGGGCAGCTCAAGGCTCTGTTGTACTGAAGTCCCAGTGTGGCCGTGACCCAGAAGCCCTCTGTCCTCCATAGCTGTGAGTTTTTCCATGAGCAGAACCTGTCTCTAGCTTTCACATATGCACAGAAGCCTCTACTCTTATTTTGTTCAGAGTCTCATAAACATTAAGGGCCCTATTTTAACGATCTAAGCGCATGGTCTAAAGCGCACGACGCAGGTGCACTCAGGGCGTGTCTGAATCCACTTTTGCTAGTTTAACGACGGGAAAACGATTGGCGAGCCCGGGCGCATGGTCTAAACAGGTTGTCCCTATTCTCTTAATGAGTAATGGGTGTTTTTGGGCGTAACGTGCAATAAACCAATCAGAGTCTCATCTCCCATCCCCTTTAAAAGCCAGTTGCGCTCGCGCCATGGCGGGTTCGCTATTTACATGGCGGAATGTAATTTTTCATATTTAAAAATGTTTGTGTGCTGCTGCGCGTCCC